CTAAAATTGTGTACTCAGCAAAACTGTCTTTTTTTTTTTTTAAAGAGAGAGTGAGAGAGGAGAGAGAGAGAATTTTTAATATTTATTTTTTAGTTCTCGGCGGACACAACATCTTTGTTGGTATGTGGTGCTGAGGATGGAACCCGGGCCGCACGCATGCCAGGCGAGCGCGCTACCGCTTGAGCCACATCCCCAGCCCGCAAAACTGTCTTTCAAGAGAAACATTCGTCCATTGATGGGCTAAACAAAGTCAAAAGTTGATCTTTTGAGAAGAATATCAAAATTGGCAAATTTCTAGTAAGAAAAAAAGAGGCAATAAAAATAAAGAAAGGACTCATAGATACCACAGATTCAAATATTTGACAATCAAATAACAGACATTCTTTAGCACAATTAGAAAAACTATCAAAAGAAATTATATATGGCCTAAATAACTGGGAGATAGATATAACTTAACAAATAGTTACAATTTGATGAATGATCTCAAATTCATATGAAAGAATAAAAACAAAACACACACACACACACACACACACACACAAAAAAAAAAAAAAAACCACCATAGACTAAGGTAGGAGAACTTGCCCAACTAGATGTTAGGTCTTTTTCTAATACTAGTGTACAATTTCATGTTCTGTAGTAACAGATAAATCAAATGATGCCCCAGGTAATAGAGATCAGTGAGAAAAGGGCAAATTCACAATGACATTGAAACAGTCARATATCAAAACATAAAAACATGAAAATTGTTACCTATGGCAAATCAAACACAAAAATGAAAAATAAAACCATTAAAGATTTTAAAAGTTGTATAAAACTATAAATTTTGAAAAAAAAAGGTAAATATTTTATTTCCTCTGAGCAGGAAATATTAATTTAAAGAAAAAACACAGGAATATAATCTTTTAGGAAAGTGTTTCCTAATTTGATAGTATTAAAAGAAGAACTCAGTGTTCATCAAAAAACACTATTAAAAGTAGTTACAAGAGCCAGACGCTGTGGTGCATGCCTGTAATCCCAGCAGCTCTGGAGGATAGTCAGTTCAATGCCAGCCTCAGCAATAGTGAGGCTCTAAGAAACTCAGTGAGACTTTGTCTCTAAATAAAATACAAACTAGGGCTGGTGATGTGGCTCAGTGGTCGAGTGCCTCTGAATTCAATCTAGTACCCATCCCCTCCAAATAATAACAAGACAAGCTACAAATAAGGAAAAGGTATTTGGAACACTAATTAACAAAGAAATATTTCCTAGATAAATATCAAAACTACCTCGAATCAATATGAAAATAAAAGTTATAAAAGCCAAATAGGTATTTTATCAAACATAAAAGACTGATAAAATACTGGAATGGTACTCAATAGCAATAGTAAAAGCAATTAAAATCACAAGGATACCAATTTATATTCCCCATATTGACAAAAATGAGAAAGCCTATGTTGATAAGTATGTGGAGCAAAGGAAACTCATTTTRCACAATGCTTCTGAGGTTACAAATTGGTGCAGCCACTGGTGCAAATTTTTTCACAAATTGGTGAAAAGAATTTGAAATAACAGCACAGAGCTGAAAGTATTAATCCTCAGTATCACTCTCAGTATCTCAGTATCACTCTCACTTTTGCAGATGTGTCACCAAGTGATTTGTATCAGAAGAATATTCACTGTGGCTTTTAAAAAAATCTGTAAAAATAACAACAAATCTTAAAAATAATTTAAATTTYTACTTAAAAGCAATAAATAACCACATAGATCATAAAATAGCATATGTATGCACACCAGAAACAATTGTCTCCCTGTCTTTGAAAGGTAACTATTTTCTAAACCCTATCATTTAGTTTTCTCCTATTTTTTTAAAGTATCAGGGATGAAACCATAGAGAGTTAATTCTTTTGTGTCTGATTTCTTAAGTTGACAGTATGTTGGTGAGATCTGTAGTTGGTATATATATTTTGTTGAATGTAGCAACAGTTCTTTCATTTTCATTGAATATTTTCCCATTGCATGGATGYATTATTGTATTCCCACCTGTCCTACTGTTGATGGATATTTAGTTTCTAATTTGGGATAATTATGAATACTCATGCTACATAGTTTTGTTCGTGTTTCTTTATATACAACATTTCCATTRTACATTGATAATTCTGAAAAGACTAAATAGTTGATTATATGTTATTTTGTATTAATAAATATATCTACTAAAATAATGTAAGAAATTCTACTAAATTAACAGATAGTGAATGGTACTATCTTAATTTTACTTCCTTTGATTATTACTTGTGGTAATCACTTTTTCATATTTTAATTTTTTTGTGAATTGCTTTTGATTGTCTTTACCCATTTTTCAATTTTTATGGTACTCATTGATTTACAAAAGCTATTTATTAAAAATTATATTGGGGACTGGGGATATAGCTCAGTTGGTATATTAATCTTTGTATTATGTATTGGTAGAAAAAGACACTTTTTACATTTCACTTTTTTATTGTTTATAATTTTCAATGGTCTGTTTTAAAAATTTTCTTTTTTATTATTATAAATTAAAAATATCATGACTTAAAATTTCAGAAATTCAAAACTTGAATTTCAAAGTTCAAATAGAGATAAATATCATTGTAATTCGCAATTTCAAAGTAGCTGTTGTTAACATTTTAGTGCATATTCTTTGTGTCTGTATTATATATTATGTCTACATACGTGTAGATTAGTGTGTGTGTATATGTATATTTAAAATATCTTTATATTTATGTGCACACATGTTTATAAGGGGGTTATTTTTCTGCCTAATGGGCACCTATTTTTTTTAATCAATTAACATAGCTAACACTATCATTTAAAAATATTTAAATGGTATCTCTGTATAAATATGCCATTTTTAATTCAACAAATATTTATTGAGACTTTATAACAGCATCATTTTTTAGGCACTGGAAACAAACAATGTCTTCAAAGGTGAAGTTTAAATGCTAATGGACCAAACATAAAATATACTAATAAGTTTTTCATATAACATAAGATAATAACAAGTAGTTCGAAGAAGAACAAGTACAAGGAAGAGGATAGAGAGTGATGGGTTGGTGAGAGGTCACAGGGTACTCAAGGAAGGGGCATCATAAGTGAACAGGAATATATTGAGTATGGGAAGTCATTGCCATTTGTGGGCAAAATCAAATGCAAGTCCCCAGGGTAAGATTTTTGGTTTTGTCTTTGAGCAAGAAATGCTCAAAGAAATCAATCTGATGTTGGTTAACATTAAGGTCATTTCTAATTATTCAAATTTTTAAACACAAATTGGAGAAACTGTCATGTTAAACTACTTACTTAATGTCTGCAGGTATTCTAACTGTTGGTCTTTTTAATTTGCAAACTCATTTTTTTCTTGTATGTTTCCGTGACTATAATAGGAAGATGTAGGTATATATCAAAGGATGTTCATCTAGTGCCAACTTGCTCCAAAGGCCTAATTCAAATTTACTTAGAGGAAAAAAAAAAGGCCTTTTTTAAATGTGGAAAGGAAGAATGGGTAATAATGAGTGTAATGCATTCCACTATTGTCATGTATTTAAAAAATAAATAAATAATTTTAAAAAAGGGGAAAGGAAGAATGTCACAATATAAAATGTTCAATTTAAAAAAGAATTTTTATAGCTTAAGACAAAACTATTGACATGACATCTTTAGCTATACTTAATGGTTCTTACCTTTAACTCTTACTTCATTCATATTTCCTTTTTATGACACTTTGACATCATGGAACATTTAATACAATAACTTATAAACAAGAATTTGATGTACAAATATTTTTCCCCTTAGGTTGCTGACACTAAGTCTTTCCCAACACCTTTTAATGTCTTGCCTGTGAAAACAAAATGGAGTAATGTTGGCTTTCATATTCTTCTATTTGATCTGGAAAACCTTGTTAAACTTTTGCTGCCGACTCCACTGAGTGCTGCTGACTCTTCCAATTCATTCTATGGTAGTGAAATCTTGAGGAGAGCCAAGAGCACAGTAGAGAAGACGACACTGACAATAAAAAGAAATAAAACTGCTAGTGGTTCTCTCTCAGCAGAAGCCCAAGCCAAGCCTCTCAATGATGGCCTGATCCAAGGAAACAATGCTATCAAATTCATAGAAGAAAATGATATTAAAAAGCAGAAGAAAACAAARAGCTCCAAGAAGAAGCATACCAAAGCATCAAGAAAAGTTGATGCCAACCTCACAATAGACACTGCTAAATTGTTTCTGTCCTGCCTTTTGCCATGGGGAGTGGATAAAGAACTAGATAATCTCTGCATTAATCATCTCAATATTTTAAAGCTTCAGGGTCCTGTTTCCTTAGGGCTTGCTTCAAATGAAGACCACTTCTCATTGATGCTGCCAGGTTGGGATTTATGCAATACWGAAATGAAGAAAGAGTACTCCAGAGTAAATTTATTTTCCAGAAAAGTTTTGGACTTGTCAAATAAATACACAGCCACTCTTCCAAATCATGTTGGAACACCAAGAAGACTGGAAAATAATTGTGATTCTTTCGAGGAGTCAAATACTATAGTTTATTTATTGAGCAGACTCTTTTTAGTTAATAAGTTAGTCAACATGCCTTCAGAACTGGCCTGTGATTTTGACAGGTAAGACATACCTAAAGATTTTGACTATTCTAATTTGGGATATTTGAAAAAAATATTATTTACAGTATTCAGCTCTCTAGTGTTTCTTTCTTCCTAATGATGGTAGTAGATATGCAAAAACTTATTTGGTTTAAAACACAATTAAGGAAATCTTATTAATCCTTTGGGATTGGAGGATAATTTGCCAATACATGTATATATTTTAAAATTACTTCATTCAACAAATATCCATTGTACTCAAAATATATGTGAGGAAAGTCATAATGTTAAATGTTTAAGGAGTAGGTAGGTAGGTGAGTACATATATATATATATGTTCAAATCAATTATACACGATATGAATTAAGTATGAGCAAACCATATGTAAATAAATGCTTATGAAGATATATATTATCAGGAATAGAAAAATTTGAAAATTTTATATATCAAATCATATCATTAAATTTGTTTCAGCATGATAAAATAGAAGAGGTTCTCCACTAATTCATTATAGAAAGTACAATTTAGTAACAACATAGCTATTGTTTCTTGTGTGTTGAACATTTGCTAGTCATTATGTAATCCCTTTACATACATTGTTTCATTTACTGTGCACATCAAAGCTGGGCTGTTARCAGTTTTGTTTTGCTCATTGTAGGGATAGGGATAATGAGGCTTATAGAAAGTGTTGAGCCCAAGGTTAATTCAGCTTCTGAGAGGTAGGACAGGCTAAGCACCAGAGCAGTCTTCCAGCTTCTCCAGTACTAACTGCATCTCTGCATCTCTGTGTTTTCCTTTTCAGTGTAGTTTTCACAGTCTGTTGTTACAGAACTGAGTTTAGTTCACCAAGTGCTTATTTATTAAACTATATTCTTAGCACTGGACTAGAGAAAAAATTTAAAATGAACTTATGATTTGGGTAGGGACTCATTCAAATGATAAACATGTTATACATGAAACAAAGAAAACACTGAAACAGAGGAAAGGCTTAAGGAAAAACATTGATTATGTGAATAAGTAGGTCATGTGGTTGGAGTAGAGAGAGCAGAGTGGGATGAATCCATCAGAAGGCTTTTCTAGAGGAGATGCTATTTGCATTGCCGGTGACATGATAAATTTTCCAAGATGTTTCTATTCTTTGACAAGAGATCAGTTCAACATGTATCTGCAAGGCACAGTGTAATAGAGGCCTTGCCCTCAGTGAACCCATAGACTGGTGAAAGTTTAAATGAATTCTATCAGATTCACCATTATGCTTTTTTCCATTGTAATGTTTCCATGTTACAAGACTTTTAATTTTCAGTTTGTTGGTTCTAATAATAGAAAACAAAAGATTGGTAAAACTGTGATTCATATATGTAGTTTTTCTCTATTTACTGTGTTCATTTTAAATGCCTAAATCTTTTTTAAATTATTATTTTGAATAGTCTTCTCTTTCCCTTAACTTTTCTGTTATTAAGATTATATAACACCAAACTATGGTGGAAAAAAAAATGCAATGGCCCTGGAATCTGAAAACCTAGAACTGAATGCTGATTTTCTTGTCATACCAGCTGTGTAACTTTGGGCTGGTCACTTAGACTTTTGGGGCTTTTTTTCCCTCATTTGCAAAATTAATTGGGTAGAAAGATTATTCCTAAGATTTCTTAAAATTCTTAAAAACTTGAGCTGCAAACAATTTTGTCTGCTTATTATAATTTCACAGAGCACATGAAAGAGTTGGTTACTATCTTCACTCTGAGTTTGTTCATGAAATAGAGTATAGGATGGAGAGGATGTATTTCATGTCCTGCAGGAGAATTTATGGGCTTTCAGCATGCCTTTCATTAAATGGCCTTTAAATTGTTGCCAGATACTAGTTGATTCCTTAAAGCCTTCTCCTAGACCTCTGGATATAGCTCTCTGATAGAGAATTTACCTAGCATGCATGAGGCCCTCCATTCCATCACCCACCCCCGCAAAAAAAAAAAAAATTCCACCAAAAATAAACCTTATAGAATGGAGTATCAGAATTAATTATGAACTGTTTCTCTAAGTCAGTCACCCCAAATTTGATCAGCTATTGGAATGTTGGAGCCTGGACAATTTTTTTTTAGAAATTACAAAAATATATATTGAATTTGTTATATCAAATCCTTCAACAAATCCTTTCAACAAATTTTGCCACTTCTCTAACATTTTATTGTGGTTGTGAAATTGAGAAATCATTGTACACTTAACAAAGGGTACATGATTTAAGTAAATTTAAGGAAATAGCTCATATGAGAACATCCCTGATAGTATCTAAAGATCCCYGTAATTTAAACTCAGACCTAGGTTAAAGTCTGCTGGTAACTGGGGAGGATTTTTTGACAGATGTGAACATATAGGATTCAAATGTTTGTTGCAATAGCCAGAAGTCATTTCCTTAAGTAGCAAGGTTCGTCTTATAAAAGTAGGTCACAAATAATCCTGGTTAACTAAGATTTGCAATTCAATTGGGATTAATATTTTAGTCAGAAATGAGAATCACAAAAGAGATTAATATGAAAGATATTCCTAAAAATAATCTGTGTTCAGTTCCCAAATTTGCTAATGTGTTCATGTACTCACATCTTCAATTTATTTTCTCAAATTATTTTTCATAGCCTTTCAATAATATTCTGTATATACTTTTTTTTCCCAACAGATTCTTCAAAACAGAATCTATGCATAATAAGATGAAAAGTCCTGGGAATGATATTTTGCATATTTCAAGCTTCTATGGTTACTTAAGAAATGGTAAGGAAGTTATAGGCATGGATATGATCAGATTTATTTTTTTCCTATGAAATAATATTTTGTAACTAAATGGCATTGGTAAAATAAGTAACATTGCATAAAATATAGATTTCACAAATTATCTTTGAAATACCTAAAAATTTGAAACTTTCAGTTATAGGCATGGATATGATCAGATTTATTTTTTTCCTATGAAATAATATTTTGTAACTAAATGGCATCGGTAAAATAAGTAACATTGCATAAAATATAGATTTCACAAATGATCTTTGAAATACCTAAAAAGTTTGAAACTTTCAGCAAAGAAAATATTTGGATATTAAATTAAGGTCACATGTAATTTATTGGAAGGTTTATTTTGCATTGATATTTTTACTACTGAATGATTATTAGAGAATTTTATTGCTATTTCAGAAGGTCATCTTCTTCTGTGTAAAACTCTTATATGCTTCTGAGTAACAATCTCAGTGTTTAGATTTTCTTTTGGTGCCACAGGATGCTCCTTTATCTCAATAAATGGTAGGTGTCACTCCAGTTATTCAGGCCAAGAACTTTGATATCATTTTTACTTTCCCTGTCTCTCATATCCCACATCCACAATTTTAGTCATCATGTTGGTTCCACCTTCTGAATACATCCCAGAATCCTGCTGCTTCTCACCACCTCCATGACCACTCACTCCACTGGTGTGAGCCTTCATCTTTCTTACCTGGATGACCTTAGCAGATTTCCCATCACCTCTCTGGTCCTATTCTTGGCTCATACCCTCCATTCCCAATTAAGCAGCCATTTCGATCTAACTCAGAATCTCCTTTCTCTACTTACAGCCTTCCAGYGACTTTTTTTCACGCAGAATAAAAGTCACAGTCCTTCCCAGAGCTCACAAGACCATAAGGCCCCATTTGACCTGGCCACTGTATCCATACCATCACATACTCACCACCTAGTTAAACTCAGTTACACCTACTCTCACCTTTTTATTCTTAACCAAATACAACAAGCAGACCTTTTGTGTTGGCTGTACCTTTGCACAGAATGTTCTTTATCCAGATATCTGTATGGATCAACCTACCCTCCCTCCACTCACCTTGATCTTTAAGTCTTCTCAGATGCCACTTAGTCAACAAAGCACTTCTCAGATGCTTCCTTAGCCCTCCCTACCTCTTTTCATCTTGTACTATTTAAAACCTTTTCACTGTCACTTTTTCTATTTGTCATCTGCTGCCTGCTATTGAAATGTAAGTTTGATGGGGGTTACACTTTTAGGATAGTTTTATTCACTGTTATGTCCCCAGTTCCTCAAACAATGARGAGAAGAATTTAAACAAGCACTTTTTGAGTTAGTGGATGAATAAAACTAGTGACTGAGTAAAATTAAGGGATAAGTAGTAAATAAAACAATGGCTTGGGAAATAAATGAAATAAATGACTGAGGTTCAAGATTCAACTCTTTCGCTTACTACTTACTCCTTTAAAAACTTTATTTACTACATTTTGAAAGTGAYGATAAGTTTTCAGACTTGATATGCATGTTCTTTCTAAAGTTGTGTAGTGCCTGACCTGTTTAATGGATTTACTTGAACATTGGTGCACAGAGGCCCTCACAAAACTGTTAGAAAAACTTCTCAAGGTTTTTTCAAGTATGAGTGGCTTAGTGTATTATAAGAATTATACTGATGGATTTAGATATATTATCTCATTTAATATATGAAGAACTTTACAAAGTAGAAAGAACTCTATTTTTTACCTTCAGAAGAATTGGGGCTCATAGAAGTTAGATGATTCATTCATAATCAAAATTCCAATCCAAATCTGATTCCTAACCTTTCTTTTTCTTTCCATTCTGTCAGGTCATTTCTGACATTTATGATTGTTAATAGTGTTCCCTCTATGTGGCCCTCTTCTGGGCTGCTGGCTGTCTTCTTAGATAGTTGCTCTTGTTAGAGTTAGTTATTTGATATTCATTTTTTATAACATGGGGAATGGTATTAGAATTTAAGGTTTAACATACATGTTTCTGCAAAGACAGGGAATTGCTAACTAGAGCCAAAACATTCCCTCTTCTCCTCTGACTTCCCACCCAAAGCAGCTTAAGCAACCAGTATTATTACTGAATAATATCTCTAATATTTAGGGTGGCATTTATACCATTTAAAATTCAGTTGAATACTGAAAACACAAGATTGTTTTCTTTTTAATAATAGGTGGAAAGTAAAAGGATTTACTCCATGTTGTTAATTTTATAAAGCCAGATTCTGAAGAATAAATTAATACTCTGAGGCACTCATTCTAAAGGGTTGACAAGAACCAATACTCATTTCTGTCAGCAGAAACAGTGACTGGGTTATATTGGTAAGCCTGGGATGTTTTCTTTTCATCTTTCCCTCTGAAGTTGCAATTAATTCTTTAACTCACTGACATTGCCAAGAAAAGTTGGCTCTCATTTCTATCTCATATTAAAATTTTAACATCACATTAAAGTGCACTGTGAAGTACCCCATGATGCCAGTAAGTAGTTACAGTTGAGACCAATACTTAGCTTTGATGGTTGAGTCACAAGGTCAACAAAATGAGAGAGGGAGAAAGGAAAGAGATCAAAAGAAGATTTTTTTTCTGTTCCCTTCTGTGCTCTGGAATAAATGGAAAATATGACTTCAAAATCATAAATCTCTATAATATATGTTGTTTGGCCATTTCAAATTCATATCATATGCTCCTACAGAAAAAAATAATAGTCAAAATTTCCTATGTATTTCTTTTTTATTCTAATTTTTATGTTCCAAGTATTATATCCAATACTTTCTATCACAAATTCTTCAACTACTAATATGATAAAATATATATTAAAATATATAAAATATCATTCATATTACTATATAGGATGATGATTCAATCAAAGGTATATTGTAACAATGTTAATTTAAATATTTGATATCAGAATGTCAAACTGTATGAGAACATTAATTTAAATAAACAGGGTAGCAGTTTGCCCACTGGGGAAAGCCATCATCTTTTTCCCCCATCTTATTCCTAGGATTTGACACTGACATAATATACTTTAGCTATCAGAAAGCCTTAATTCATTGATTTTTTTCCTTTGGGTGATTATATGTACATTTTCAATTAATGAAAAGGTACTTATTAAGTGCTTTTTTGTGTAGGGAACTTCTGGGCACTCTGTGGATCAATTTAAATAGACCAAGTCCTACTTCACTCTTAAAATTTCACATGGAACATTAAGGCAGAGATAGAAAGGACATTTAAAAGGGCAAACTTAAAAGAAACAATACATAACAAAATGAGTCAAATTGAAGCATTAGTGCTTTACCTATTGATCAGAGTGGAATTGCTGGGTAAGGACAAATCAAAGGAAGTCTTTTATTTGATTTTACATATTATAGATACTGATTCATAGCAGGATTGGATTTCAGAAACTATTTGTATGARGAAGGAATTGCAAAATTTGGTGATATGTCTTAGGTTGGCAAAGAGGTGCAAAGATGAATTTAAGTTGTAAAAATGAATATGATTTGATCTGGATTTGTGTTAGTATTATTGGTAGAAATATGTCTAAAAGTACGTACATATATGCATGTGTGTATACACTTACTTATATGTATTTAAAATTCTTATATATAYATACATATGTAAAATTCTTATAGGTATATCTATAAATATAGATGTGTGTGTGTGTGTGTGTGTGTGTGTATACATGAACGTATATTTATTTCTTAACTCTGGCTATACATGAAAATCATCTGAGATATTGTTACAAAGTATTACTGCCTGCCACATCTCCACCCCTGGACCTTCTAAATCAGAATTTCTGCAAGATTGAGTCTGTGCATTGGTGTTTGCACAAACAAGTTACCCAGGTCATTCCATTGTGCAACCAGGGATAAGGTCGGTGTGTTACATCATTTTTAACACTCTCGGGGTATAATGTGTTCTACATATTTCTAGGTAAGAATGAATCTCATATGACTGACGCTGACCTTCCGCTTTTGAAGCTAATCTCATGTTGGCGAGACCAGTCTGTGCAGGTATGATATAATCCATGTTCTTGAAATTATTGGAAGAGTTTATTTCTGCTGCAAGTAATTGGTACTTCCTTYACCTGAGAGTAAAAGTAGGTAGTTACTCATGTCCTCTCTGGACTTGCATTTTAACATGCCTAATGTAGAAACAGAGATGAGAAAAAAGAAAAATCAAAATCAAATATGCAAGGGTACACCAAGGAAAAGACATGAATAAACTGGGGTGAAGTGTGGGGCTTTATGCTATCATATGTAAGTACTTGCCTGACAGGGTTTTAGTTTGAGGCAGAGTTGTCTGTTGCTTGAATTCAAAATGTGCCATGACATTATGGTGCTTTTCTTGAAAATTTGTTCATATGAATTTAGAAACCATTTTCTGTCCTTTGAGTACCTAATCTGTGAGCTGACAGAGAGCTATTTTTATTCAATGTCCAATTTAAACCCTTCTCCCTCTTTTAATGCTTCTTTGGGTCCTAAAAGCAAACTTACGTTTAGCTTTGCACATTGTACAATAAATATCTGTGCATTGATTAGATGAACTTTTGTTGGAACTTAATTCCTCTTCAAGAACTTGGCAAATATCAAGTTTGCAAGAGGGGGGAAGCAGTAATTCTGATTACAAGTGGCTATTCTTGTTTATAGGGAAACAAAGTTTAGTCAAAGCAAACTTTAGGGGTTTGATACTACTATAACACCAAATATGCACAGCTCTAATGACAATGAAAAATCACATTTCCACATGATTTACCACCATCCTAATATCATCCCTCATCATTTTTCTGCCCCTATTTTTATCCTTATATAGACACATTGGCCTTCATTTCTAAAAAAACAAAATTATTTCCTCAGTTTCTTAATGTAATCTTGTGATGGAATTCATATTTCTCCATCTTTCAACCCCCTGATCTTCACTCAAAATCTGCCTTGTTAAACAAGTTTGTCCCTGACTACTCCAACTGATGTTGCTACCAGGCCTCCCCTCATTTCACACCTCCAGTAGCCATCATGTTATCCAACCTTATGCTTTTCATTGTGGTTGCTTTTAAGGGAAATGATATAATTTGCTTATTTCCTATCTCCTCACTGTTTTATCAACTTTCTAAAAGCAGGGACCTTGTTTATCTCATTCATCCCCTCTCACCAATGGCCAGAAAACAGTAATGACAGTAGCCAGTCAATAAATATTCAATGGATGCATGAATAGCTATGCAAATATTTTCTGTAATGATCAAAATTAACACTAGTACATGCTCACATTTATCAACATTTTAACAGTCACTCCAAAGAGTCTATTTATTAAAAGGGAGATTTTCCCCCTGCCCCAGTAGTCAAAGAATCTTTCAATGGGGGAAATTCCTTAAATAAAAGGATTCTACAGAATATTTATCCTGAATCTAAAGATCTTTTATAGCTAGCTGTTCATTCAGATTTCACTACACTTTGGTATAGTTTGGTGTGTTTGGGCTGATGGACCTTTAAGTTTCTATGTTCAGCAACCTTAGATGAAATCTTGATAATAGGGCAGATGTTTTCAGAGTATTTATCATTTCCCACCCAGGAACTCTAAGCCTTATAGTCCTGTCATCTCTGTCAGTTACCTAATGTAGGAGTCAGGAAGATAGATTTAGTTTGTTGATTTTTTCCTTTTTCATCTTTTTCATTTGTAAAGTGGGAAGGAAAATTTCTTGGCTAACCAGAAACAACATGGTTGTTTGCAAGTAGTTGTTTAAATGCTTCAGCACCCAGTGCTAAGATTCTTGATAACACTGTTTATTTAAGCAGTTAATTGAATCATTGAATCCTGAATTTATTTATTTTATTTTTATTCTTTTGCATTTTGGGACCACCAGGGAGTAATGAAATAACTTTTATTAAACAGCAAAATATGAATTTAGAAATTGAGTGTTTGCCTTTAAGGGAGAAGAATGAGTTAATTTTTCAGATGAATGAGTCAATCCAGAGGTTACTCTCTTTTCTCATACATCAGAGAGTCAATATAAAAATAATTCCTGAAAGAGAAACAGGAAAGTTTGGGGATTGCTATKTGCATTTCTGGAACTTTAGTAAAGTGCTTTGGATTTTTTTATTCCAACACCAATGGGTACAAATACTGGCACGTGGACCTTCAGGGAGAAGTGTTGCTTCTCTGGGAGATATTGCAAAGACATGAAAGGCCAACAAGAAGTGCAGTGTTGTTGAAAAGCTTTTATCACAGGCAATCTGGACATCATAACAGCAAGCAGTATACAGGGATTCTTATGAATGTAATGATGCTCAATCCTGTTTTTTTAGTACTTTGATATTCCAAGGTGTTAGTGAGATACAATCAAAAAATTTTATCTTATCTTTGGAATAGTAACATTCATAATAATAAGTATGTGGCCCAAATCATRGCTGACTCTAGTCATGGATTTGTAAACTTTACTTTGATTCTCTGTACATCTCCTTGTAAAAGTATAGTACTTTGCATACCTACCTTATCAGAGAAATTTATTTCTATGAATTTGGAAGATAGCTTTATAGTCATAGTGCTCCATTTTAGGCTAACATTAAAAATCACAAAGTTATATAAAATCTGTCTAAAAATTTATATTTTGTTGGAGAAAATTCTGCCGCTATTGACACTCAACAAAATTTACCTACTATTTTTATGTGTTAGATGGATGCAAGCATTGATAGCTGAAAATTGTCAATAAAAATTATACTTTTCAGACTTTTTATATGCATCATAACTGAGGCTATAACTTGATCCTATAAGTTATAAGATATTATATCTGATAGACTACATTGAAATAGATTACATTTTATATCACAGTTGTGAACACTGCTCAGAGAGGTGATAATTTTCCCACTATGGACATATGGCCCACGAATCCACTCTAAGTGCTGTATTATGTTCTGGACACTTGTGATCTATGRGTTCCAGACGGTGTTCTGTTTTGAGAAGCTGTCATCCTGAGCCCTCTCAGTAAGTAAGGACATGAATTTTCAGAGGAGTTTGACTTGCCAAAGGTTGCATATGTAGTAACTGTTACAACTGGATCAGAAACTGAAGTCTTCTTTTTTTGATCCAGTGTTCTTTCCATCACATCATCCACATCTTGGAATTAGTACTATCAAATAACATGAGTGAAAAGATAAATATTTCATGTATGAAATATTCAGTTATATAAAATTACTCATCATTAATAATTAAGAAAATATGCCCATCTTATGATATACGTAAATCAGCATAGTTTGCCAATGTTGTAGTATATATTGGTAAACACCTTATAAGTAACACATTATTATAAGTTTCATCACACGGTGAATTTTAATAAGCATGATTCACAAGAATTGTGATATGTATAATTATACACTACATTCATAATATATAATAAATTTTACAGTGCTGAATATTACATCACAGACATTCATGAGTAAGCATTACTTACTTGTATCCTGATAGGCTATACTACATGTTAGTATACATGGTATACAATAGCAAAATCATTACCACTCATTAGCCTGTTTTCTTTCYCTAATCAAGCATTTAAGTGCAAGATGTACAAGAACAGGCGAAGAATCAGTAATCTAATACTCTTGGAAAGAAGCTTCCTTATTTAAAAGTCAGGTGCCCAGTTCCTTCTGCCCCARTAGTTCAGTGAGCATCTGCCATAGCATGAGCTCCCTGGGAGGCCGTGGACTTTAAAGATAGCATATGTCACCATAATTTATAACGAGACTAAATAATGTCCAGAGAATGCATGTTCTGTTTTTGGCTCTCACATCTCCAGATCACTACTCTCAGATGGTGTTATCCAAATCCCTAGCTACACACATCCTGCAGGTAGACTGGGAATAGTGGAGAGGGCAACAGTAGCAATTGTGGAATATGGGCCAACTTGGCAAAGGGCAGGCTTCTGAAGGAAAACAGAGCAGGCATTGAGATGTGGCTACATGAAAGRCTTCACTACAGTCAGAGAAGGTTAATGGGAAGGCGTCCAAAGTCCACCTAGATCAGTGGTGTCCTTCCTTTTCTCTCCTTGATTCAGATCCTGGCTTTTCTTGGTCACTACCTAACTCCTGGTCTTTGCCACATTCCTTGCCAGGAAGAAGTCTGAGTAAACAGTCACTAGTGTTTCACTGACAAGAAAGGGTACAGAAACTTGGGTGGCAACATACTGTAAAACAGAATCAAGGATCAGAGGCCTGTTTACCAGGTCTCTATAACCTTGGCCTGTCATTTACTGAGTTCTTCATTTTAAAATGAAGATATTTGGGCATAATGCTCTGTGTTTGATCCTTAGCACTGGAAAGAAGGAAAGAAGGAAGGAAGGGAGGGAGGGAGGAAGGAAGGGAGGGAGGGAGGAAAAAAGGAAGGAAGGAAGGAAGGAAGGAAGGAAGGAAGGAAGGAAGGAATTAGACTAGATGCTCTGTGATAAACATCTCCCTGCCCCCACCCAGCCACAGCTCCTTCAGCAGGTAAGCACAACAACTGGAAGGGAAGGCCTTGCAGTGTTTTAATCTGTGTAAAACTACATATGCATTCATTCAGCTGAGTGAGATTTATTATTAAAGTCCTTTCTTTAACCTTCTCTATTAAACAGTTTAAATCCAGTGTTTTAGGTAACTGGTGCTTTGGAACTGAACATAATTTGAAGAGCTAACCTTGTCTTTAAATGCAATATGATACATTAATTTTCTGTAACTTCTAATGAAACTTAAAATAGCTTAGTTAGATCAAAGAATTGAAAACTCCTTTCAAGTATCCATTTAGAATCTTGGATTTGCAGAACAGCTTTTACTCCCCATATTTTAGCTCCTTTAGATGCTACTTCTACCAGAATGTAACAGTATTATTTATAGAAATTCAATTAAATCAAAATTCTGGGCTTTTTCTTCTTTTTTTTTTTTAACAAGACTACCAAGTATTTGTAATAAAACTATTAAAAATAATTCACTAAAACAACAACAGTTACAACAAAAACCTTTCTAGGTAACTGAAGCAATACAAGCTGTTCTCTTGGCTGAAGTGCAACAGCACATGAAAAGTTTGAGAAAGACGCCAATTGACAGTCAACCAGTGTCCACAGCAGAGAATGGTAACTATGAGATGATGCAGATCCCAAAGAAGAAGGAGTGGACTGAGGAACTAGAATTACAGTGTATTAGAAACACTTCAGCTCCACAAAGTAAGTAAAAAATTTACCGGATTACTCTTTCAATAGAATTTTTGTACTAAATGAGAATGTAACTTTATAATATATACTGTTGAAAAATAAGTTCATCTCATTTCTGCAAGATCCAAGCCAAGTGCCTTGTTTCTATCTTATCTGCTATCAATTTCCCCTGATAATTTAAGTGTCAGATTTTTAAAGAACTTTTAGATTCTACAAAAAAATAAATATTTTTCTAGAAGTAAATCGTACATTATTTATAACAATGTTTTGAAGTTGAGGGATTAAAAATGAAGACAGAATTGACCACARTAGCCTAAAAGGATATATATCACACCTATATCCAAATAATAATGGGTCCTAAATGTGTTTGTTTTGTTCCTTGATAATAGTCATTTGCTGATTTTTCTTTTCTAGGAAGAAGAAATATTGTATAGAAAATGAAACCAGTTTTACAGTTGGATCATTTGATTTTTATAATTAACTTTTTCATTATAGCTTCATAATAAAAATAATAATGTTTATGGTTTATGGCTAGCAGATCAATCCAAATTAATATAATACAGTGTTAACTGTTTTTTTAATCCCAATTACCATGACTTTTTAAAAAAGCAACTAAAACACATAAAAAATTAACTACAAACTTTATTAGTAAGCTTTTGATGAATAATTAATTTGTAATGTGATTAATTGAGTGTTTTGGACAGGAAAACACATTATAAACATATATATTCAAGATTGTTAAAATTGTCAGATGTTTCTTCTATCTCTCAAAAGAGATTTTATTTTTATTTATTTGAGACTCAGAAATTTGTTATATTTCTAATGTTAAATCTTAGAACCGGTATCATTCTTGAAAATACAATTATTTACACTTGTTATTTTATAAAATTACTGATGGGAGAGTGTTATGTAGTGAGAGATAAAAAGGCATATTCAGAATAGGCCAAAGAGTAAAAAAATAAAAATAAAACTAGAATATTTCTAGATGCCAGGAAGGCCCTGATGATCGAAAATTCAGTAAATACTTTGACAAAGCTAGATGGCTATTTCAACTTGTTGATTTGTTGTTTGTTTTTAGTTATTTGGTAATACCTCTATGAAGAGCTCGTTTTTTGTATCRCATGACTGCAGTTATATTACACCTTTTAAGTAAGAAGTATAAAAATTCCTTTTTACTTAAATTTCAGTGACTACATTGAGCTCTTGACTCATACAGAGAGCCATCCTTGGTGCCATTGGTAGGTTTCTTCCAAGTCCCCAAAGCCTGTGTCATTGATCATGTGAATAAGGTTTACCTTATTCTTTGCCCATTCTTTTTTTCTGGGCTAGAAGCTCTTGGTAGACTATCAAAGTGAAACTTGAGATAAGTTTTGCTGTCACATGCCTTACCCATATTTGTACTTCCACCAGATTGGACCCAGTTCTAACCCCAGGTCATTCTCAAACTTAATAACTGTTCTTGACACAATGGAATCACATCTAACTGTGACTGAAGACATTTGGACTTCAAGTTTGGCATTAGCTGTCCTGATCAGTTATGAAAAGATTTTTTCTTTGCTTATGAAAAAAAAATAATTGGGGTTAACTTCTGATAAGAATTGGGACACCGAAGTATTAAACTAATTTATATGTTGGTGGATGAGTTTTAGAATAAATTATTAAACAAATAACACATTCACAAAATGTGGAACATGTATCTTCTYAAGGAATATTATTTGCACGAAAATACTAACTACTTTGCAATTAAATATGGAATACATCACAGGCATTAAAAAGGAAACTATCCAAACAATATTATATTAAATTGCCCTTTTCCCCTTTGGGAAAAGATGTGTTTTTAAATGATTCAAAAGAACTTAGTAAAATTATAGTAAAAGATCTTAGAATTCCAATATAGTGATATGTACTATATTACATGATGGTATTTGGAAAACAAAAAAAAAAGCTGCTTTATTTCAAATGTTCAGAGAAAAAGTTAAAAAGATAGTGGAGGGGCTATTGGTGTGATGATCCTCAAATCTAACAGGCAAATTTACTTAGCTCAAGTATCACTGTAACATATATTATTTTACAAGTATTCTTATGATAAATGGTATATTTTAATTTTATAAGGTTCTTGCTCATTTGTATCCTCTGAGCTCTCTCCACCTCCTACTTTTTTTCCTGATTTTTTTTCTTGTTTTTTTTGCAATACATCTTTTTTGTGGATCAGTTGTAAAGTAAAAGATGATAGTTTTGTTTTGAATGGGTAATCATAAATTTGTATTATGATAGAATGAAGTATATTTGGTTTATTAGCTATATGTAATATAGTAATAACAAATCATAGAAAAATAATAACAATTATTGAGGTTTTGTTTTTTGTCTTTTGATTTTGTTTTTGTTTTTGTTTTTTTGGTACCAGGGATTGAACCCAATGGCACTTAAACACTAAGCCACATCTCCAGCCCTTTTTATATTTTATTTTGAGACAGAGTCTCATTAAGTAGCTTAGCACCTCCCTAAGTTGCTGAAGCTGGCTTTGAACTCACAGTCCTCTTGCCTCAGCCTCCCTAGCCATTGGGATTCCAGGCATATGCCACTGAACTCAGCAATTRTTGAGTTCCTTTTTTTTTTTTTTCTTTTTGGAGGGGGGTTCCAGAGATTGAACTCATGGGCACTCAACCACTGACCCACATCCTCAGTCCTATTTTGTATTTTATTTAGAGACAGAGTATTACTGAGTTGCTTAGCACCTTGCTTTTGCTGAGGCTGGCTTTGAACTCACAATCCTCCTGTTTTAGCCTCCYGAGCCACTGGAATTACAGACGTTCACCACTGCATCCAGCCATTATTGAACTCTTAATGCATTCCAACACTATGCAAAATAAATTTTGAATGTTTTCTCACTTTTTTCTTAAATTCTCATGTAATCCACAGGAAGACTAAGACTATACTTCCAACAGTTGAATCCTCTGTGCAGATAACTTCACCACTCTTTAAATGTCCATATTTATGGACATGAAGTTTGCAAGTAAAACTGAAAAGAACCATTCTTTGAGAAAGATAGATTTCCCTTCTGCTGCCTAGGTTGGGCCTAAGAAACTACCTCTTGAATTTTTAAATTACATATATACACACGCACACATGTATTATATACCTATATATACACATATGTACCCACATATATATTTATCTACATATATTTCTCATTCATATTAAATACAGTTTTAAAATTATGCCATAACCACACCAACTACTTTGAATGTCACCAGAGGTATACACCTTGTACTATAAGCTATACTTCCTATTATTTATTATTATCCCACTTTTAAAATGAATAAACTGGGGCATAAGAGAGTATTTTGTGTGTTRTCTACAGTCACAAAATTAAACAGAAATGCAAACCCAGATATTCTCTTAAACGTTGTACTCTTATCTAGTAAGCTATATTCTCTCTACTGGCAGCATGACAGAAATTTGCTCTAAATCAGCTTGATCTAAAAATTGAATAATTTATTGAATGGTTTTCTTAGATTTTTATTCCTCTATCATAAATCATACTTTCTATTACCAAAGAAAATTCAGAGTGTTCAATCATTGCCATCTCAGCCCTCACAATAGAGAAAATCACCAGGTTTATGGAACTATTTGTACAAGATGCATCTGGGAACATTGGAAATCAAATGAAGTGAAAGTTCAAGTATAATGTGTGTTTGAACTCTGTAATTTTGTGTCTTGTTTCTTTTTCAGTGTTTTGTTACATTTCACAGCATGTATTTTATTTGAACTCTTAATATTTGAGTATCAATGTTTTATGTGAAAGTGGTGGATTTTATCTGTTTACATTTTTTTACAGTGATTACATTGCTGTCATCCTTGAAACTCTTTTTTAAAAATTATATAATTCTCACATTCAAAACTAAAATTCATTGCTTTAAAAACAGCAATGGTTTTCATTATTAAACTGTATATGTAAGTTAACCACCACCCTTTTTTTGTTTGAATGTTTTTTGGATAAGCTTAAATAAGTAATCTAAATTGTTCCATTAAATAAATTGGTTCAAATAGAAAAGGAGGCTTTGTAGATAAAACTGTCACCTTGGAATTATTGGCTGAATTTAAATTTCACGTTAAACTGTGGTTGTGAAGATGATGCATCATATATAGATATTGCAAATAATCTTTACTACATGCATCATATTGAAAGACTTATCTAGAAAATTAAATAACAAAAGTGTGCTTTCTGTTTAAATAAAACCATGTGTTTGTTGTAAATCAAGGAAATAAATATCTATTCAATAGAAAGTTTTGATGGTCCTGCTGTAGTAGGCTTCTGTTGCCAGTTGAGCTTCTCAGAAGGAAAAACTGTCTGATTGTAGAAAGTCTTTGAAATGTACTTGTCTCCCTCACACTTTAGTTCACCCACTGTGAGGTCTCCAAGCTGAAGTTATTATGGCCACAGAAGTCATCTAGGAAAGGTCTGAGTGATATTAAGTGAGCAAGGAACAATTGGAAATGGGGGAACCCAGCCTGTGTGTCACAGTGAGGTCTTGGGTGCTTGTGCGCTCGCTCTCTCTCTCTCTCTCTCTCTCTCTCGCTCTCTTTCTCTCTCTCTGTCTCTCCCTCTCTCTAAGAAATCATTTGGACAAGTGGCACCCATTTTCCAAGGTATGTAGCCCATGGTGTAGGGGCCAATGACAGTGATAGGTGGATTGGCTCTGGTATCCTGACTTGGTTCCTGTGTGGTGTGGTGCAGCATTGCTCATAGATACAATGTCACCCGCCAGGWATGCTGGAGAAAGAGCAGAAGATGCACTCCATAAAAAACTGTCCCTGGTGTGTTCATTTTCAGGTATACCTGTCTAGATGATCTACAGGCTTTATATTGTATTTTTACCTAAACTAATCCCCAGAAAATTGACAAGAGGCTAAAATTCCCCTGCCAAGAAACTACGGATTGAAGATAATACTAACAATGCAAGCTAAAGCAAACAAGATATAAATGTCATCGCCAAATTTATCTTATGTTA